ATCAACCAACGAGTCGTTCGTGATCAAAGTCCATTTCGTATATCTTTTGACATTTCGAAGAGCATCTTATCCGTAAAAGAGCGAAAAAAAAAACATGCAGTATATTTCGAAATACCTTTTCGAGATAAAATTTTATTACTTTTGTTTCGCAAGAACCCAGCAAAAGAGACCAAAGTCAATGACAATGTCAATGTGCGAATCGATGGTATTCAGGCAACCGGTACACCAACCAAAGTTGCCACATCTATGGCTTGATAAATCACAATTACCACTTGATTTATACGTGCTCTTTTTGTCAATCTGTCTGTTCCGTTTTTGCTCGAAAATTTAAATTTTTTTAAAGCATTTTTAGTTACGAGTATTTATTTTTTTAAGTGTTAAATGACCTCTAAATCCAAAACTGAAAGAATAGGTAATATTCAGTACCTGAATTTCAGTCACCTTAACCTTCTTAAATGTGTTGATTTTGATTGCATTTTTTTTCGACGATGGAAAGCGTACGGTTTATGGGCAATCGGCTCATTGAGCTAAGTTGTTGCTGTCGACACACAGCTTTATAGTGGAAGCATAAGTGAATACAAAAAAAATTCACCTATTCTATTTAATGACAGTGCGGACAAAAGGACAAAGGGCACATACACATATGAGCATTGGGGGCCATATTCCAATGAAAAGAGATCGCACAACACAAAATAGCATGTTACACATAAAATGAGTGCATCCGATGAATTTGGAGTACAGCTCTTTGGTACCGTTAGTAGCTTGCTTCTTTTAAGTGTTTCTCTATTTATTTTAAATCTTGCTTTTATATTCTATTTCTCTGGTTTTACTCTTGTTCTCTTTCTCTCATACATTTTATGATACCAATGTATAAAACGTACGATTCATTTTATATTCGATGATTGCATTCGTTTATTTTTTTTTTGCTTGGTTGCGAAAGCGCTTCACTTTTTTCGGTTTTTTATAATCGACACCATACAAAATTGCGGAGCTCTTTGTAATAGAGTCCAAGCGCAAAAACATCTGTGTTCTAAAAATTATTCTGGTGAAAGTTTTGGCTTAAATGGATAAAATACTCAACATTTCGTTTTTTTTCCAACTTTTCCTCGTTAGTCGTTCTTTTATATTTTTCTGTCCATTTCTCTTTTTCAAAATGAAGAATTGTTTGGGATTAAGACATATGAAATTATGTTGAGAACAAATCAGGAAGTAGATCATAATCGAATCAAGTAATATAATGAATGGACTCACGCAAAATAAACTTAACAAATGCTCTTCGTCTTCATTGTAATATCTCATGAGTGTGTGACTCATTAGAAGCTTTTCATCCCAATAGGGAAATCGTAAAAATGAAATGCATCAAAGTTGCATTAAAACGTAACAATAAACTATGTATATGCACGAAAGATGTGCCATTTTATCTTTCGAACAATAATAAAAATTCAGCGTAGAACGCAAATTTCATTACATTTGCTTCGCTTTTAGCACAAATGTGATTCACTTATCAAGCGCATAAAAATTGGGTCGTAGAAAAATGTTGAAGAAGGAGCAAGAAGGTGGCGTACTTCAAATTATTATAATGTTGATGGCATCTAATAAGTATGTGCTGCTGTTTTTTTTCTTCTTCTCTCTTTTATTATTGTGAGTAGTGTTTTAGTATGAGTGAAATTTATGGCTTGTTCCAAAAAGGTCTCCATGAATCTTTCTTTATGCACTTTCAACATAAAACGAACTTATTTGTAGTGAAATTTTAATTTAATTCGATCATTGCACGAAAGAAAAAAAACAAATGGTGAACGTAAATGCAGAAAAATTTAAATTTGAGATAGATGATAGCAATCATATTGTTCAGTCATCTCGATGGCAATTTATAAAGCGCAATAAAATTGAAACAGAAACAACCGAAATGAAACTTGACTTTGATGAATATTCAACGTTAATTGCTTATTTCTTTTTTTCGTCGGATGCTTGGGTGGGCAGTAACAATTTGATGATAGATTTCGCTAAATAAATTTCCCTTCGCCTTTCGTGAACACTTTTGTCAAACACACACCCAAATGAAAATATCAACAACAACAACAACAAAGCAAAAAAAAAAACAATCCGTTGCCTTATCGTCCTAGGCGCCGACACATCTTTTCACTTCAGGCTTCTTCGTTATATATCATTTTAGGCGCGCTGCACTGTATCAATAAATCGATATAGACCTATGAAAATATGATACACACGCAAATTGCTCATTTTGGCCATTGAAGCTTGAATATTTTCTTTCACTTAACGAGAAAAAGGAGCATTGTAAACACATTCCTTGAATTTTCCTTGCTTTTTCTTATACATTGCAGAAAACCCCATCGAAGAAAGGAAAAATGATTAATTAGTTGCTTTATGAAATTGTTACCAACGTTCTTCAAATGTGATGCCAAACCATATGAAAATTTTCCTTTTTCGTCAATCCGAAAACCATTATAATTATCGTCAATTACACTGAAAGATTTATTTACGCTTCTGTCACTTTTTTTCGTCGTCGTCAATGCTAAAATGCAGAGATGCAGGTGAAGTGATTATAGAAAGAATAATAAAAATGTTGAAGATGATGATGACAGCGACGACACAATGACAACGGCGACGGTGTTTTGATAAAAGAATATTGCGCGCCATTTGTACCGTTTTTGCCGTGCATTTTGTTCGCAACACCAAAATTACCAAACAATGATGTCGGGAATTCTTCGAAAAATGATTTGTGGTTTGTGATTCGCAATTACAATGACTGAAATGGGTTCTTTTTTATCCGGTAAGCCAACACAAATAAATTGGATCGAAATGTATCTTTTGTGAGAAGTGCTCAAGAAGAGTGAAAAGATGTTAAGATCGCCATTAGTTAAATTACGGTTTTTGCTCTCTTTATCGTTCATTCTCTCTCTCTCTAGATCTCAATCTTTGTGTTTGTGTAACAGTAACATCCAAGTTTACATTCAAAAACGGAAATGATGATAAAAATACGTTTCTTTTCAAGCCGTATTGTTTACGTATTTTTTTTTTATTCTATTCTACATCTGAACACTGATTTCATCAGAGACGATGTAAAATTATCCAATTTGGATGTTAACACAATCAAAGTGTCTATCTGAATAAGCGTATAATTTATCCATGCTTCAGGCATAACTCATGAAGATTTGCACAGAATAAGCTGCTGTTCAAATAATCTCAATGACAGTACAAATATTTAGCGACTTGGTATGAAAGTGAGAGAGAGAAAAAGATGGCCACGAAAATGTATTGACAAAAAAGTGGACTAAATTTGTTATACGTATTACGCTATAATATCCATTAGGTTACTAATTCATCGGTGATAAACACGTACGACAGTAGAAAATTCAAATACCGAAAATTGTATAAGAAAATTACGTGTGTATATATTTTCTACTGCCGATTTCATGCGTCTAACATCGTTACAAGGAGGATGTGCGAAACACGGTTACCTTGTATGGTGGTGTAATAACCATGTCAATTATAGATTTATATATAGTTTTTATGGTGTGCCACTTACATTCCGTGCAGGAGAGAATGAGAGAATTTTCAGATAAGAAAAAAAATATTTCGTAATGTAAGTGGCAAGAAAGTCTTCAAACACTTACCATGTGCATTTCATGCTTACAAGATAACGACATGCGGCACGTTCAAAATGTATGTGTTACATTACTCAAAAACAAGCGCTAGAAATGTGAAAATAAAATAAGCATAAAATTCTTGCTTTCTCATTTCTCTCCGTCTCTCTCTGTATCGACAATAATTTAAAAAAGAATGCACACACACAAAGTTTTTCTTGCTAATCAGATTTTTGTTAGGGGTATAAACATTTGTTCGTTGAAATTACCTAATGGAAATGTTGCTTAAGTGGAAATCGCTTTGTTTTTCATCTAAAATAATGAAATGCTTTTTATTTGGATTAATCAGTGCATGTATTCTATATTGTTGTGCATTCTAAATTAACTAATTCCATTGGCTTATCGGATAGATTAAGCAAATTGACTGAAAGTTACTTGTATGTGCGTTGTGCGAACGACACACGATGTTGATGGAAAAAAATCAATGTGCCGTGTCTAGTCATTGTTTTCAGCGGCGTTGAATGATTTCACTTTTGCTAAATATAATCAATGGAATAAGAACGAATACAGAAAATCATGTTGGGTTTTCAACTCAATCAAGCACAGATATTTTAGTGAGACCTGCGCTTGATGGAAACGGAACGATGAGAATAACATACAGAAAATATTTGACAAGACACTTTTTTATATTCATAACAAATAAGACTTGATATTAAAAACAACGAAATGTGTTTTATTTTTTGTTTTGTGTGTGACATTTTTCGACCTGCGAAAATTGAACTTCAACAATTCCCAAATGTCTATCCATTTTACGAACGCAAAAACACTAGCTGTTAAATTGTGTTTTGTATCGAAAATGAAGATGAAGAAAATCAAAACACTTGAAATACGTTTACACGAGCAAAATCATTGAAAATATGCTGTCAATGTGTTGAGTCGATCTTAAAATAAGATGCACAGGCACACGTAAAGTCAAAATGAAACTAAACAAGCTCAAGAATTCAGTGACAACCATTAAGATTACAATCGACGAATGAAACAAGAGTGCTTGTCGCATATTTCACGTACTCTGTTTTTTTTTTATTCATATCTCGTCCATCTCTATTCCTATATCTCTATCTCTCTATACATTTAACGGAAAATATTCGTCCCGAAAGATGAAAATGTATATTTGACATAGCAAATATGGATACAATCAATTTTTCGCCTTGCAAAAATGTCAAAGGAACAACTGAAGCGAAAAACACAATGAATAAAAGAGACACATGTAGATGAAAATCAAATTTTAAATGTCAACTGTTCAAAGTTAATATTTCGTTTTTTTCTTTATTCTTGTTTTGTTCTTTTCCAGTGTTTTACGTCAATCAGATAAAAAAGAAAGAAAAGACAAAACAAAAAAAAAATCAAATTGAAAGCAGAGAAGATGTGAGTGGAAAAAAAATTGTGAGTAAGATTAGCCAACAACTGGAAACTTTTTACGTATATTGTTTGAATCATAAACAACCGCGTTCTATCTCTTTTACTTTTTTTTTGTTTTCAAAAGGAAATACAGCGACGTGTGAGAAAAATATTTGTCAAGCTTGAATTAAATTAGAGCGACCGAAATCCAACTCAAAACGGTGCAATAATCGCCGCGAAAACAAGAAAAGAGCCTTTTCTTTTCATCGTTCGACATTTAGATAATACACAAAACCCCCAATTCAATAATAATGTTACGGAGTTGTGCATGTTTTCAACGTCAACGTCGCGGTTCGAGCTTTGAGGATTCGTCATCGTGTCGGAGCTCAGAGATTGAGCGCGGAAGCGAAGTATCAACAAGCAATGGAAGCCTATTAAAATTGATAACGTCCCGCGGGTGGTGTCGTCAATGGAGAAAGACTGGAAGTACCATCAGTATGTCAAAAATTGAACGAAGTAAGTCACAAATTTAAATTTAACAAAATATTGTCGAGATTTATTTATCGTAAAGTTGGAGCTGGTCGACCGCATATTAGTACTATTCATTCTGAATCAACTATTACCAATACATGATTAAAATAAATCGTATTATATATATCTGCGGGTGCGAAAAACAAACCGCATGCAATCAATCAATTTGCATCATTAAGTTGCATTCGAAAATGAGGCAGCAAATTAATAATTCTGTCAAGGCTATTATGAATAGATACTCAACGTCAATTTCACGTGGTATCAAGCAGTACACTATCCACCAAAAGTTTTTCTACAAATGTAAAAGAGATCAACGAAAAATATAAATGACCTAGGTATATAGCTATTTAAGAGATGGTAATATAGACGGACTAAGACACAATTCACCTACGGTTCTTACCGGTGTCATGTGAGCAAAACAGCTAGACACCGATTTTACGAACATTTATGCAAGATATATATATATATTTTTTGCAAGATTTTTTGGAAATGGTCTTATTATAAATTCATCGGCCACTAAAATTTGATAGCAGCATCGTTATCCATTAACGTCCATTCATTTTACATAGAACAGAATTTATTCATTGGAACATGATGATAAAACAGCAGCAATATTTCTATTTCTAGTAGGATATATGGAAAAGTAATTGTCTATAAAATTGATTTTCTGTTAAAATTTCGGCGAAACTTTTTGACTCAATATACATTTATGTTAAACATTTATTTGATTTAAATTTGTTGTGCCATATTTTAACACTTCAATCGTTGATTGACTCTAATTATATTTGTAATTAATTTTAAAACTTTGACGCATCACAAATTGAATTTTCGGTTTTTGCGGTATCAGCATTTTATTCATTCTGAATTTTGATTTTCGTGATTTCATTCGATTTCAAATATTCGGTTTTTGTACAATTTAAAACCATTCATCAGCCTATCAAAAAATTACCTTATCATCAAAATATGAAAATGCCTCATTTTCATAATATCATATTTCTAGCAGAGTTTTAAAATTCTTAGCGATATAAAACAAAAGTAGATTATACTGTGTATGTCGATCACGTATTTTTTTCTGATAATGAATGGGAGTTAATATCGACAACAATAACTTAAAAAAAAACTTTTATGTGGATATCAACAGATTCATATGTATTACATATGATGTAGAATTAAGAGTTTGGTGCGCTGAAAATTTCAACGAAATATGAATTTGCGTGTTATGGTTTTGAGTCATTAACAATAAAGTAAATTAATCAGCATGTAAACGAAATAGATTGTTTTGTGGCACAGTACAAGCAATTTTATGCATTAAACACCAAAAACATACACGCCTAACTTTTGTGTATTGTTGATCATTGTTCTTTTTTTCTATGATTGGTATTCATATGGAATATCACATTCAATGCTTAGGGTTATACTGTCTAGAAAGCGGAGCAACCAAAAGCCGTATGGGGAACGCAAAAAGCGAGACTCAATTTATATGCGCATCAATATTAATATTATGTATACATTCACAGTTATCGAATCATAAATCTGGGAGCGTGCTTTTTTACTCTTAATTTCTTACCCACAAAACTGAGGCTGAGAAGAAAAAAATGTAGGCTACTTCGCATCTCCCTTGTAGAAATTCTCTTGTGTGAATTGGAAAATATGAATACTGACTCATGGCACAGATAAAATGTCTATGTATGAATGAGTCGATCGAAGTGAAATAAATCTCGTACAAATTTCGTCTAAGTTTTGATTTAATTCATTAGAAAAACATTGATGTGATTTTTTTTATTTTTCATTTATGATTTTGCATACATACAGAGAAGCAATATAATGCAAACTAGATGACTTGTCGTATAAAATTTGGAACTAGTTGACACTCCGTATAAAATTGTATTTTTCCATCTAATTTCATACCAAACATAGTTATTGTGTATTCTCTTTTGTGCGGTTCCGAATTTTATACGACAAGCCATCTAGTTTTCATTTTATAATTTCTTTGTGTGTACTTGAAAATCATTTCGTTTCCAAATCAGTGCACCAAAAAAGGGAAAAGAAATTACCCAAGGTGGTGGATCGGCATGACTTCATTTACTAGCTCAATCAATTTAATAATAAAAATGAAAACATCCTTATCCATTTTGTAAATGTTTCGGACCCAATACACGGTCATTATCATTTGAACTTCAAATGTTTTCAAATCAATACAGTGACGTAGCAATATGTAGGTGACGAATTTTCATTGTTTTTACAAAAACAAGTTGCGTTGATCGACGTCATTTCAACTTTTTCTCAGGAAGTTTATAGGTTGCGCATGCAAAGGCGTTTGTTTGGGTCTTTGATCGGTGTGGGATGAGAAATATTGACGTAATATTTTTCTACTGACACTTTAATGATATCCTGAGGTGTAGCTTACTAATTGCTACAAAACAATTTATTTTTCTTAACGAATGCAATAACAACGATCGTACATTCCATCCGTGAGTCATATTCGGACTACATTTCTATTCAATTTTATTTAGAATTAAAGTTGAAATTAGAATTGTGAAAACAATAAAAATTATTGTATTGTCATATTTCTACTAATGTGATTAAAAACTTGGAGATTCAAAATCAATGAAATATTCAATACAATAAAATTCGTTGTTTAACGTATTTATTGGTATATATTGGTCTGTTTTATACATTAACAAAAGGCACTGGCTTTTACAAAGAACTTTTGAACTTTGACTGTTTCAATATAATCTAGAAACATATTCATCTTATGACAAAGTAGTATACACGTTTTTGCATATCCATGTCAAACAACTATCACGCAAATGTCATGAGTAAATCAAGCTTTTTGACATTTTCCATAAGCTATTTTCCTTTTTGACGCAAAACACCAAAAATACAGTTTACATTCGATGTTCTTATGAAAAATGATCCAAAAACAAAAAGAAAACTTTTCCATCGAAACATATTCAAGTAAGGATCACTTTGGTGTTTTTTTTTTTTTGCTGAGAATATTTATGAAATACAAAACATCAAAATTCTCTTAAAACCGCATTGCGTACGACGGGAAAAAAAATAATTGGCCGAGCTGAACATATCAAATTTTCTTTTGTCGCCTTTGTCATTGTAGACAAAATTCCACCAATTCCACAAAGAAGTAAGAAAAAACCATATGAGTGAAAATGACACGTTCGAGAGTTTGTATTACGAAGTTTGCTTTTTTTTAATCAAGACTGACGTGTGTCCAAACAAATATGCAGACATTTTTTGTTTTGTTTTGGTTGAAATGGAATTATCACTTTTCTTGTAAATGCAAAAATAATATAAATAACAGTAACTTTATTTGCGACACCTATTTAAAATCCACAACACTTGACCAATGAGCTTAATTGCGATACTGTTCATTGTCATACAGACTCTGTTGAATGCATAGTGTGTAGATTTTAACGAAATTGCCACCATACGCTGAATGAAAATAAGTCGACACTGTCGCATTTCTTATTTTGTGAATTTAACAAACCAGAACAGTTATGGCAAATATTATACTAAGAGTGTCTAATGTCAATATATATGAATATTCCAGCCTATCAGATGTTTTCCTAGGGGGAAACACTGGATCTAATATTGCTAATTTTCCTAAATTTTTTTAGTAACTTGCATATAACGTACATCATATGTACGTTTAAAAGGACCTAATAAGTCCTAATTTTTCTTAGTTTGTGTCTACCGGGGGGTAGACGTGTTCACATTTAAACATATCCTTATTGACTTACAAGTGGAACAATCATATATGGCTATACTGCAATTGTCTGTACGGTTGATGTATGTAGGATATTCGAATAAATTTCTTCAAACGATATGTTTTATTTTATTTGCACGTGCGCGAATAAAGGTGGAAATGCCTGTGAGCTACAGTTAGCATTTTTTTTATTCGAAAAATGTTACAGCATTGTCTTCGTATACTATGAGTTATCCGAATGAATGTATGGCAATCGCCATTATTATTCGGCACGCTCCAAAGCTATCGAGTCAATCGTGAATAATAAACAATATTCGGAATGAGAGGAAAAAAACGGAACAACAACAGCAACGACCTTTCCATCAGTAATATCATATCTATGTTGCCAATGATCGCCCGCATTTTTCTTCAAAATTTGTGCAGTATATATTGTGTTTATCAAACTGTTTTTCGTTCAAATACACATCACTCGAAGGCACCTGTTTACCATATCAGATGGCATTTGTTCCATCTACTGAAATTGTATCGTAAAACGAAATGACAAATTCTAAAGCTCACATCTTATCAACAAGTCATATGTTAAATTTTATTGCATGGCGAAAATCAATTTATTTTTTCCAACGAAATTAGGTACATTCAATTTCTTTTCATTGGAAAGATAAAATTAAATTCTGATTTTACCAACACACGGTACTCGATGTTGTCAATTCATTAAAAACCAAATATATATGCTGACGAACATTGATGGAATGAGAAATGCGTATACGAAAATGCATAAACAACTTTGATTTTGTTTTAAAAAACGAATCGCACGTATACAATGTGAAAACAATGAAATTAAAAATATTTGGAAAAAAATGTGATGAAATATAAATGCTCCGATAAACAAACTAAAATAAGAATGATTTCATTCCTTTTCTGACACCGACAGAGATGAAATAGAAATGCAAATCAATTTATTCTATAGAACGAAAAGCAAAACAAGAACTGAAGTGAAATGAGTGAGTACACTCTTTTTCGTAGAGATGTTTGATTCGGTTGCTTTTTCACCATTTTTTCAAACCAACAACAGTTGGTTGTACCAAAGAACCGAAATTGAACAAAATAGACTCTATACTTAACTGTACAGTGTATGTCTTAGATTTAAAAGCGATTTTATTTGGATAACATAAATGAGATATGTTGTATCAAATCCTAATCTTATTATCCCCTTTTTCACAAATATAAAAACGATTAGATGTCATAGAGCGAATACTGAACAGAGCATGACATGGTTGTTGGCAAAGAGCGCGTTTGCCGGTCACTAGTGTAAGTGTTGTTTGTATTGGTTTAAGCCGAATACCAATACATACATGCCGGTGTTTGTAAATAAACTCATTGATTACAAGTGCGATTTCATGCTCTGGGCATAAACATTACAAAAAAAGGCCGCTTTTCAAAAATCAATTATTTTAATTAGTAATAAATAGCCTTGTCGACAAGTGAGTGAAAGAATTTCTTTCACAATAATTATTATATTTTCCATAATGCTATTGTTCATAACTGACATTTTAATTCAACTGGTTTTGATTGCTGATATTTTATTCCATAATGACCATATGTGTATTATTGAATATATTTCAATGTACATATAATTTAATTTGCCATGCGATCCTTGATCACATGAAGCGCCGATCAGAAATAAACATGCTTCTCTCAACACAACGTTGAACTGAAATGGAGTAAAAATGTATTATGAAATTAAATTAATTCATATTCGAACAATTTTCAAATGAGAAATCGTGACATCCAATAATTAATTTCATTTGTTTTGCATTGCATTACAATTCATGTTACATGTGCAACTTTACACGATGCTCATTGTTCCGTATACCGAAGAAAAAATAGAAATGGAAATCAAATTTCAAGAAACTTTTTGTATATTTCTTTTAATGTTAAGTTCTATTCCGCAATTATGCAGTTTTTAATAGAAATATATTCTTTTGACTAATTTACGATAAATCCAAGTATAAACGTAAATGCTCAAATATATAAAAAACAATATCATTAATTTTGTCAGTCTGTCTTCAATTGGCTAATGGATAGAAAAATGATTTAATTTTCGGTCCCTTATGAATTTCGTTTTTTTTTTAGAAAAGAGTTGCTTTTGTCAAAATAATAAATGGTTTCAACAGCATCTAATGTGCTTATGAATCGCTACGATTGATAAAATCGTCGGAATCGTTGATTGTACAATCGTTGTTGTATATATAAAGTTATATTACAATTTGCATTCTCTTTCACGCGGACATTCTTCGGTTCTGTCTAGTAGTTCTATGATTTTTTGTTATGTTTTAACAAAAGTATTGCTATTTGCGCCATCATTCGTAAGAATCTCCAAAACCGAACAGATTCTTCATCTTAAACATATTATTTAACCCCTAGTGATTTATATTATCACATATAAAAATGTAACATCAACACTTCAAATATGTTGCTCTATTTATTTACATGTTTGCATCTCATTGTTTTAGCTATGAAAGCGGCAATATTGATACAACGATGGTATCGTCGTTATTTAGCTCGCATGGAAATTCGTCGACGATACACATGGACAATATTCCAAAGCATTGAATATGCTGGCGAACAAGACCAAGTTCGGGTAAGTTTTATTTTATTTTCCCTTTTGCCAAATGTTGTTGCAAAGAAAACTAAAAAAAAAAAGAAAAAGATATTTATATGTTATTTACACTATGCCAAATTTTAATTTGGTATTCGCTTCACCGCATGTATAAATCAGAAAGTTGATTATTCGCTTCCCTCATTTCGTTCATGTTCATCATTTCATTTTTGGGTGAAGTTTCAAAATTGAATTAGAATGAAGCTTGCATATATACATAAAAACGTACAGGGAAACAATCATGAAACATATATACAATGTGCTCAGTGTGCAGCAAGCAATTTATATACTTAATTATTGCATGCGTTTCGTTGCTGCAGAAATGCCAAACAAAAGACATGGTTTTTTTTGTTATCGTTCGCCTTGTGTCACGCAAGCTAAACAGGATCCAGAAGCAACCATTGCATGTATGCGTGTTGTGTTTTGTTCGTGACGTTTCTCGGATGTATGTTGAAATTGTTTTCTCTTTTTCTTCTTTTTTTTTGTCGGTTCGCTTTTTATTTCGTCTTTCTTGTAAATCCATTTCATTGTTTACAACAATGTAACAATGACGGCTATGATTTCTTTTTTACTTTGCACCGTATACTTTTTGGTGCCATTGAATTCATCCGGAAAAGTGTTTTCTCATCGCTGTGGGGAAGATGAAGAAGGGGGGGATTGGAAAATATGAAAATTTGTAAAAGCGCTACACGAAGGGAGAAGAAAGAAAGAGAGCATAGCAATGTGTGCAAGGTCGTTGCCAACTGTGATATATACGTGTCCAAATATTTTGCTTGCTCATTTAATTTCATGTTAAATAACGTTAATGACAAAGAAAATGAATTTAAAATATTTCATCGTTTTATTCATTAACTTCAGTACCTTTTCATTACACACCGTTTTTGTATTATTATCATTGTGCGCCAAAACGGAACAATACAGACTTTACTATGTCTTTGTCTATGTCTTTGTCATTGTATAATACAAGTGTTGACGCCAAGAGCTTTTGGATGGCGGAGGTTAATGGCAAAAACAGACATCCGAAGGGGGTACCGTGAGAAGTCAATTGTTTCTAGTGTAAAAAATTGAAGTTATTTTTTATTCCATTCTGATCAAATGTAATGACCGGGAGAAGACTTTTGGCCGAAAGATCGATCCTAGCAAATCGAAGTGAACTCATGAACCTGTAGATCCATATGGAAATAATTCCAAAATGATCCGTTATATCTAATGATGGCGCTGTTTTGGATCAAGCTATTTTAAAATATATGTAAAACTATACTCAACACAACTCATGCATTGTCATTGTGCATAATGTTTCATTAGGTGTATTTCCCTTGAAATATTTCGAATAATGTGTATAAAGTTTCTATTTAAAATGTTGAAAAAATAAGAAATAGATTCCAAACCGAAATAACTGAATAGAATCCTTTGACATAATCTACATCGTTAGATCCATTATCAAATTCTCATAATTAATGTGTTACTTTTCAAAATATCATGAGATAAGACAATGTTGCCAGCAATATGTGCGTGTAAGCAAGAGCGGCAACTAAGCATTGGCATTGAAAGTCTTCCAACGTTTCTGGTGAAGGAGTTGAAATGAAGCAAAAAGCAGCGTGTCTTCACTTTAAATATTAATGACTGTAAATTAGTATTTAAGCTTTAAATAAAGCAGATGTTTTACGCGATTTACTTCAGATAAAGCCATATGCACATTTTCAATCGTTGGTTTTACAAAGCATTTAAGCCCAGAACGAGCCAAGGATGTCATTTTGAACAGAACACGATCGTCCATGATAACTACGGATAATTTTTGAAATCAATTGCTCAGAACGTGAGAAAATTAATTTGGAATTATAGACACAATTTAAGAAACCCTTAGCATTAACAAATATAGATGTGCCAAATCCGATATGTTAATACATTTTGTATTATGATAATATTTATTAGGATGCTATTAACTATTAACAACCAATCATACTACGCATATTAACATGAGTAGTAGTATTAGGATCGATGTTAATAGCGAGTAGTAGTATGTTTATTATCTATTAAGATGCCAAAGTTAATACGCGCCATTTGCAATTTTTCGTAAACAAACAATATTTT